CCTTCCCGCTGACAATCAGACCTCAGAAGTTGCGGGGCACCCTCTGGCTCCCTCACTTCCCACAGCACACCAGATTAAGGATGTCATTACTCTCTTCCTGCCAGAGCTGTCCACGGGGCCTGGGGCCCGGGGGCTGGGAAAGCCTTGGCAGGGCTAGGGCAGGGCTAGGGCAGGGGTGCGTCCCTAGCTGGCTGGTCTGCAGGGATCCCAGCCTCGGTTCCCAGGAAGGAGAGGAGTGTTAACTGTCCGGTCCCTTCTGGGTGCTGGACCTTATGTCTTATCAGCCCTATCCAGCTGTTTAATCACATTATTAAGGAAAGTGTCGTTGCCATGGAAATCGGGTGGTGACAGCAGAGAAGGAGCTGTGGACCAGCTCCTGCTTCCAAGCTGCTGCTGTGCAGACAGGGGAGTGGGTGGGGCAAGGGGGAAGGCGTGCTTGAGCAGCACTGAGGCCAGGGGAGGGGGGCTCAGGAGGAAGAAGGGGGGGTTGTTGGGAGCTGCATGGGGCTTTGGCATTGGCACTGAATGAAAGGGGGAGCCCTGGGAAGCAGCATCGTGGTTACGAGTTGGGCTGTGATACACAACGTGCTCAGTTTGAAACCACCAGCCTCTCCTTGGGAGAACAACAACAACACAACACCCCAAACCACCAACCAAAACCAAAAGCCTAACTCATTGCCGTTGAGTCGATGCTGACTCACAGCAACCCTGTAGGATGGAGCAGCACTGCCCCTGGGGGTTTCTGGACAGTCACTCTTTGCAGGGGTGCAAAGCCCCACCCTGTCTTTCTCCCCCAGCCGCTGGTGCTTCCAAACTGCTGACATTGCAGATCAAAGCCCAAAGGGCCCCCACTCTGCCCCAGGGCTCCCCTCTGTACCTCCAGAAAGAGGAAAACAGTGACAGTCTCAGAAACTCACAGGGGCAGTGCTGCCCTGTCCCTCAGGGCCACCATGAGTCTGAATCGGCTTGATGACAAGGAGTTTGGTTTGGGTCAAGGATCCCAGTGTGGCCATCCACCAAGGTGGGCAGGCTGGGGTGGAGCGGGTCCAGCTGGGGAGAAGGCAGAAGACGTCAGAAACTCCCTTCTGGACGTGTGCCTGATGACATGTCAAATAAATGCCCTCACAAGGGCTCCCGGTAGGCATGGGCACAGGCGTGAGTGGTTGCCCCTGCCCCCTGGGGAGGACTCTGTCCATCTGGAGAAAAGGAGTCCAGTCCAACAGCCACTTGGGTCGTCTTGGCTGTAGCTGCAGATCAGGCTGTCTGTTGTGGTGTTGACACAAGTCCCTGCAGGCAGGCAGCCCAGTGCACTGACCCCCCCACGCCCCTGGGGCTCGCCTCCAGGAGTGTTGTCATCCCATCTCCCATGCAGCGCTGTTACTCACACTTGGAGACGGAGGCTAAATGGTAGAGCCAAGCCAGGTCCTCTCCGTGGACCTACCTGCCTCCCTTGCCACCCAAAGAGCTGTGCCAGGAGCTTCCACACTCAAGAGAGGTGGTTCCCTGCCACACCTTTCACCCGGCTCTGCCCTCCCCACCCTCTCTAGGCCTTCAGTGAATGGACGGAGGATGGGCTGGGAGTCAGAGAGTCTGGGCAGGAGATCAAGAGCCCCAGGGCCCGGGGCCTGCCCCAAGGGCCCTGCTACTGCTCTAGAGAGGCTGTGTTCACGGGTGTAGGTCCAGGCAGCCGGTTTGGGGGGACCCCAGCTAGTGTCACCAGCCTGGATGCCAGTCCCATCTCCATCCACCTATCAGTCAAGCAAGGGAATCTCACTTTCTCTTTTGTGCATTGGGCTCAAAGACCCCCTCCCATCTACCTCTGGGAGGTGTTCTGAGACCACAGCCAACCGCCGCCTGAGTGCTGTAATAAAACACCGGGCAAACACAAGGCCCTTTATCACTCAGGCAGTAAACCACTTAACCGCCCTGCCAAGGCCTTAAAGGATAACACCAAGGGAAAGTCCTGGGTGGCTAGGGCAGCTTCCTGCAGGGAGAGGCCCTGTGCAGGTGCTTGGAGGCCACCTCGGTGTGGGATGGAGCTCAGCTAGATGTCACGGGGGACTGCAAAGATGAACTTGGGAGCCGTGGATGAAGAGGATGGCAGATGGAGGAGGAGAGGCAGACAGCAGAGGACTGAGCCCTGGGGCTCTTTGACACCAGGGAAGGAAACCAAGATAGTAGGTCAGGGATTTGGGGCCCCAGGGCTTTGGCAGGAAAGGAACCAGCAGTTGGTCGAAATGTCCCCTGAGTTGGTGAGAGCCTGGGCCAGAATAGTGGCTTAGGGACTGGGTAAGAGGGGCCAGCCGGAAGGCATAGAAACCAAGGTCCATTTTGGTGAGTGGTCACAAACCTTACCCAAGGTCATAGAGCTTAGAAGCAGTGGAGTCCAGACTCAAACACAAGACTGGTTGCTATCTCGACTCCACCCAGAGTCAATATGACCTGGGGCCTCCATGGGCCTCTGAGTGATTGGGAGATGGGTGGTGCCCTTGGCAGAGGCCGGCAAGGCCCTAGGGAAGGCTGGTCCTGGCAGCGGGTAGTAGACACGCTGGGCTTGAGGGGTGCTGAGTGTGAAGTGTCTGAGGACAGATGGGGAAGCCATCGAGTGGCCGTAGACCGTGGGAGCTGAGGCTCAGGGTAGGATTAGAGCTCTTTACGTGGGTATGGGGCCCTTCAGTACGGACTGTAAGCATTGATGACAGATGTGATGGGGACAGAGCCATGGGCCAGGGTCAGGACCCAGAGTCCATGTCTACAGGCTGGCCCCAGGAGGAAGAAGAAATGCAGAGAGAAAGGAATCCTTGTAGATTGTCAAGGAGGCTGCTTGTCTAACCCTTCCCCACGTCCGTCAAACACTGAGCCACGCCTCCACCTCCCAGAAGAACACCAGGTTGTTTATTCTATGGAGTGGAGTGAAAGTTCACTGACTGAGTGATGGGCTGCACCAACTAGTGCCTCATGCTAAATGCATGGCTACCATATGACCAGACTCCCGAGGTGGCACAAATGGCTAAGCATTCAGCAGTGAGTCAAGAGTTGGATGGTTCAAATCCTCCCAGAGGTCACTGAAAACCACCTGGAGGGAGGTGTTCTGCTCTGCACACGTGATGTTACCATGAACTGGGATCCACCCAATGGCAACCACCATCAGCCACCAGACAGGAAGTTCCCTCCCGGGTATGCCCCAAAGAAATGGCTTTGTTCATCATAGCCAAATGGTGGGGACCACCCAGTACCCACCCATGAATGCACAGCCACACAAAATGCCATGTCACCATGTAATGAAATACGGTTTAGCGATACAAAGGCAAGAAGTAGTAATAGGTGCGATAACACAGATAAAGCTTAAAAACATGTTCAATGAGAAAGAAAAATAAACCACACAGACGGCCACATATGATACGATTCCGTTACCATGGAGGCTCTAGAATAGCAGGTCTATGGAAACAGAAAGTCGGTTAGGAGCCCTGGTGGTGGCATGGCTGAGCGCGTGGCCACCAGCCCAAGGCGTGGAGGTTCCGCGTCCACTCAGGTACCTACGAAGAAAGGCCTGGCAAGCTACTCTGGGGAAAAAAACCAAAACGAGTCTTCGAAAGCCCTTAGGGCACCTTCTGCGCTATGCCTGGGGCTACCCGGTCATCTGCTTCTATTTTTTGAGCTTTCTGTGGAGAACAGTGAAGGCTAAGGGAGACGGGTCTCTGGCAGCCTTGGAGAAAACCAGCTCAGTGGAGTCTGAGACTGATGGAGAAAACCAGCTCAGTGGAGTCTGAGACTGATGGATGTACGCCCCGCCTCTGTTCAAAAAATAGTGTTTAGGCGCAGTTAGGCCTGCATGGCGCATCACGTTGGACTGCTAACCACAAGGCCAGAAGTTTGAACCCACCAGCCAACACATGGGAGAGAGATGAGGCTCTCTACTCCCGTAAAGAGTTTCCGTCTTGGGCACCCACAGGGGCAGTTCTCCCCTGTCCTATGGGGTCACTATGAGTTAGACCCGACTCAATGGCAATGAGTTTGGTTTGGGTGCAAAACGGCTCATGCTCTTGGTTGCTACCCCAAAGCTTGGCGGTTCACGTCCACCGCTCGGAAGAAAGGATTGTCGGTCACCTTTGGGAAACTTAGCCCCTGGAAACAATCTGGACCCCATTCTACCCGGCTGCAATGGGGTCGCCATGAGTTGGGGTCAACTTGACAGGTCCTCAAAGACCAGAGGGGTCACGCCACTCCAGCGGGTCACTCTAGGTCTGTCATTGACAAAGTCCTCCCTGCCTCTCTCGCTCCTTTGAACTCACAACTACCCAACGTCCAGAGAAGCTCCTGGACCCTTGCCCTCTGCCTTCCAGCTACCCCAGGTCCTGGCGACCCCACAGGGCAGAGGAGAGCTGCTCCTTAGGGTTTCGGAGGCTGTCCGTCTTAACGGGCAGACAGCCGTCGCTTCCTTCTCCCCGGAGAGGTGGTGGGTTTGAGCGTTGACCTTTCAGTTAGAAGCCCAGCACTTAACCCACCATGCCACCTGACCCCTTTAGCTCTGTGCATAACATTTTAAAATAGAAGGAAGTGTTTTTTTTAATAAACGAGAGTGGGAACCTAGAGGTACAGAAAGTGCGCTCTCTCTATCTATATATCTCTCTGTCACTTGGTCCGGGGTGGGGGAGGGCTGGGCTGCAACGGGACACAAGGGAACTTATGGGGGGTGGGGCTGAGGCAGGAATTCCCTGCATCTTCACATGGACATGGTTTCCTGGGTGTGGACACCCGAAACCCCTCAGCTTGTCCGTTTTAACTGGATGCGCTTCTGCACCGCCAACAATGCCTCCACTATTGAGAGAGAGAAGCGAGGAGAGGGAGGCTCCGGTGGACCCCACGGCCTCCCTGGACAGACTGCACCCCCTCCCTCCCACACACATGCTCATCCCTGCTTGCTCCTGCCCCCTCCCCTCCCCTGGCCTGGCCTCTCCCTCCAGAAGGCTGTCCAGCCCTGCCTCATTCTCTGTCGCCAGGACTCCAACTTGTCCCTGCACACAGACAACCCCGACCTCACACCCTGCTTCCAGAACTCTCTGCTGGCCTGGGCCCCCTGCATCTACCTGTGGGCTGCCCTGCCCTGCTACCTGCTCTACCTCCGCCGCTACCATGGCGGCTACATCGTCCTCTCCCATCTCTGCAGGCTGAAGACGGTAAGGGCTGAGGGGGCTGGGCTTGGGAATTCTCCTTTCAATGGACCCATCACCCACTAGCCCCATCAGCTGTGTTGGGCCTGGGCCTGCTGCCACCCCAGCCTGTTCTGGTCCTCCGGTCTTCCCTGCCTCCTTGGCCTGCAGCTCTGGGCCTGCGTAGCCCACCAGCTGGGGATGTAGCCAACTGGGATAGTCTCTGCTTGGGGGCATTCAAGCTCCTCCTCCAGCAAGACTTCCCCCCACCCCAGCCCCTACCCCGCCAAGCTTCCAGCCAGCTCTGCCCGGTCCAGAGAGCCATGCCCAGGCTAGTGCCTTGTGGTGGGTCCGGATGCAGAGGTTCCTCCCCAGCTGGGGCTGCTCCTGCCTCTGGGGAGGGGCCTCCAACCAGTGCCCTGTCCACAGGCGCTGGGCGCCCTGCTGTGGTGTGTTTCCTGGGCGGACCTCTTCTACTCCTTCCACGGCCTGCTCCGTGGCCAGGCGCCTGCCCCCATCTTCTTGGTCACCCCCTTGGTGGTGGGGCTCACTATGGTCAGTGTGCGGCCCAGGGAATGGAGGGTCTCCAGATGGGGAGACCATGGGCTCCGAAGAGAAGGGCTGGACACCTTGGGGGTGGGGGGAGGATGGTGTGGCCCCAGGAAATAGAGCCCTGTGGGTGAGGGGGGACTGCGGCAAATCCAGATGGATGTGGTCTTCTGGGCCTTCCCTGCCTCCCCACTCCCACCCTCCGCAGCTGCTGGCCACCCTGCTGATCCAGTACGAGCGGTTGCGGGGCGTCCAGTCCTCGGGGGTCCTCACTGTCTTCTGGTTCCTGTGTGTGCTCTGCGCCATTGTCCCCTTCCGCTCCAAGATCCTGTCGGCCGTGGCTGAGGTAAGGGGTTGGACCCAGGGACCTTGCCAGGCCCAGCCCGTCTGGGGTGGCGGCTCCTTCCATGCTCCCTGGACCCCTCTGCTGTTCAGCCCCCTTTCAGGTTCTTGTTCCCTCTTGTCCCCTGGGTGCAGGGAACAGGCTGGGCTGGGTAGCAGGTGCGGGGCCAGAGTAACGCAGGGGACCCCAGGGGCCAGGTCTCTGCTGCTGCCGGTGGTGGGTGGGCTCGTGGAGTGCTGGAGCTGCTCTGTAGCCTCCACCCCCCACCCCTGCAGGTGTCTGCTACGGGCGATGGGTGGGGAGGAGGGGTGGAAGGCTCACCCAGAACCCTGTCTTCTTGTTTCTCTCTCTCTTCCCACCTTTCTTTTGATTTCCCCAGAGAAGATGCCCACCCCCAGTGGCGGGGGGAGGATCTGGAACACTGTGGGGGTTGGTCTAGTGAACTCCCCCATGTCTTCACCCCAGGCTCTAAGCATGCTCTTGATGGGGTCTGGGGCCAGTTACTTCACCCCGTTGAAACTTGGTTTGCTCAACTGCAAACTAAGATTGCCCCTCTCCCGAGCGACTGGTGCTTTGAGCTGCTGGCCTCCAGGCTGGCAGCCCAGTGCACAGCCCACGATGCCACCCGAGGTGGGTTCATGTGGGTGTGCACGAGGGACAGGGAACAAGGACGACCGAGGCAGAATCGCTGCGTGTGGCTTAGGGTCCTGGCGAAGAGTGCTGGGAGTCCCGTGGACTGCTAAAAGGACAAAGGACTGTCTGGGAAGAAGTACAGCCGGGAGGCTCCTTAGAGGCAGGAATGGAGAGGCTTGGCCTCACACACTTTGGACTTGTCAGGAGAGACCGGTCCCTGGAGAAGGACACCGTGCTCGGTGTGGCTGCAACAATGGGCTCAAACCTAAGAACCGTTGTTGGGATAGCGGTGTTGTGTGTGGTTGCGCACAGGTCACTGTGCGTCGGAACCGACTCGAGGACACCTCCCAACAACACGAGAGACCCTCAGTACCAGCCGCACCCCATGGTTATGAAGGTCACTGAATGGGCCCCCCTCAGACGATGCTCCCAGAGTGCTTGGCGAGTCCCCACCGAGCAGTGGCCCTACTCTACCCAACCCCACCCCATCTGGGGTGTGACCTAGGGCCCCCAGCAGCCTGCACCCCAGGACCCTGACACTCCGAAGCTCTCTCGGAGCCGAGACCCCCAGCCCAGGGTCCCTTCTCCTTCCAGGGCAGGATCTCCGACCCCTTCCGCTTCACCACCTTCTACATCCACTTTGCCCTGCTGCTCTCTGCCCTCATCCTGTCCTGCTTCAGAGAGAAGCCGCCCCTCTTCTCCCCAAAGAACATCGACGCTGTGAGTTTCCCACAGAAGCCAGGGTACCTGTGCTATCCATCTGAACCCCAAGCCCCCACCAGCAAGATCCTTCCAAGGGAGGAGGGGTGCCAATGAGAGGAGCCACCCCTACAGTCCTGGGAGCATGGCCGGGAGCAGAGAGGAACCAGGGCCACTCCTGACTCCCCCGTCTGCTCTCTTGCCTTCTAGAACCCCAGCCCAGAGACCAGCGCCGGCTTCCTCTCCCGTCTGACTTTCTGGTGGTTCACCGAGTGAGCTGGCTTTTCCTGCAGCCTGGGCCAGAGGGACTGGGAGAGGGACGAGGGCGGCCAGGCCAGAAGGGGCAGAAGTTCAGGGCCTGATGAGCTGGGCTTGGGTGGCCCTCAGCTTGCTCTCCCCGCCAGGCATGGGGCAGGCCAGGGTGGAAAAGCCTGTGTGTTTGGGCTGCAGGGGTGAGTGAGTGTAGGCCTGGCTCAGTGCCCACCCAGGCGGCAGGCCAGTCCTGCATCTGACGGGCCTAGGGGGACAGGCCAGGGGCAGGGAGGAGATGAGAATGAGTCCCCAGCTCTTCAGTCTCCGGGGAGCTTGCAGCTTGTTATCTCCTCGGCAGCCCCTCTGAGTGGCTCAGGTTGGATAATTGTGTTTGTGAGCTGGGTGACAGCTCATTACCCCTCTGCACGGAGGAGGCACCTGAGGCCGGGCAGACTCCACCAGCCTGAGTCTCGCCTGGCCCAGCCCAAAAGGATTAAGCCACAGCCCAGGGAGCAGAGGGGGGTCGGGGCACCCGGGGCTGGCGGGGGCAGAGGCAGGAAGCTTCCAGAGGGGGCCCTGCCACCTGCTCACCTGGCAACAAAAGGGCCATCCCCCTTGATGAGTACCCCCTAGGGGGGCCCTTCCTTTCTGAGGATGCCTCCAGGGCCAGGCTTCTCCTGCAACTTGGGGGCCCCCTCTGCCATCCCCACTGCAGGATGGCCATCCTTGGCTACCGGCGACCCCTGGAGAATGGGGACCTCTGGTCTCTGAACGAGAACGACCGCACCCACGTGGTGGTGCAGCAGCTGCTGGAGACGTGGGAGCAGCAGAAGGCTGCACGGTGAGCTCTGCCCTGGGCAGCACACCCCTCCAGCCCAGCTCCTGCCCCACCCCCCACCCCGGGGGAAAAGAATGGGCACAGCCCACCTGTGGCAGTGCAGTACCACCGAGGAGACTGGGTAAGGATCTGCCATGGTCCAAACCTACCAGCCACCCGACGCAGAAGAGGCTTGAACCCCGGAGGGCGCTTCTAGCCTGTCCCAGCAGGTCGGACCTGACTGGACGACAGGCAACAGCCCCATCAGGACCATTAGGTGGCGGCCCGGGCCTGACTGAGGCCCGTTCTCCCTAGCTCTTGAGGGCAGGAACAAAGGCCATCATTTTCTGAGCTCTTGCTCCATTCCCAGCATGGCCCCCAGCGTGCAGATAGGCTCACCTCCCTCTCCCCAGACCTGGAGTGTCAGCTATCCCCATACAACACACGGGAGCCCTAAGACCCACCGCTCTCTGACAGCCCCAAGGCCCCTTTGTTGGCGGTGCAGAGCCAAGTGGCACTCTTAGCACTACATGTCTCAGCCGGGACTCCAGGGCCTTCTTCAGGAAGAAGAAAGGGCCCAGGCTGGTGCCGCCTGGCTGGGGAACAGGCCTGCTAAAATGACCCTCTGACTGGGCAGCCTCCACACTGGCCGCCTCCAGCCAAGCTCCTGGGGACATGTCTCCAACCACCTCCCAAGCTAGGAGAGCGGGGCTTAGTGCTCTCCTTCCCTGCCCACCCCTAAGCCAAGGACTGAGCCCCTCCTTGCCCATTCATGCCAAGGAGACCAGATATCTGGGCAGCTGGCATCGGAGAGAGAGGCCAGGGCCTTGGCTCGGTTAGCAGGACCTTTGAGAAGATGCATGCCCCATCCACCTGCTGTATCCCCTCTGCCCTTCCCTGCTGCCCACCTTCGCCCTGCTCAGCTCCCCCATGACTGAGCCAATGGCCATGCCTCCACCCTCTGCCCACAGCATCCCCCTGCCTGGCAACAGTCCTGGGGTGGGGGGACACAGAGAAGATCAACCCAAGCTGAGGTGGTCCGGTCAGTTCCACCTCCTCGGGTCCCTGTAGGACAGAGAACCACAAACACTAAACTCACTGCCATCGCGTCAACCCTGGGGGTTTCCCACACCAACTATTCACCGGAGTAGAAAGCCCAGGCTTTCTCCCGGGGAGCTGCTGGTGGTTTCGAACTGCTGACCACGGATCACACGCCCAGGCGTAACGGTTCTGCCATCAGGGCTTCCGCTGAGCACAGAGAACAGCTGCCCCACAGTTTCCTAGACTGTCGCCCTGGTGGGTTCGAAATGCCGGCCTTTCCATGAGCAGCCGAACCCTTGAGCCACTAAGGTAGCAGTACTTCAGGGAGAGGGGTCACCAAACCAAACTCAATGCCGACTCACAGCGACCCTATAGGACCAGGGAAAATGGTCCCTGCGAGTTTCCAAGACTAACTCTTCCCAGGAATCCAAAACCCCAATGGCTTCTGGGCCCTAGGGTTAAGGACTAGGAAGCCTCGACTCTCCTGAGCAGGCTGGTGGTTCTGCTGAGGAGCTTGCGATCACAGCCTAGGGTGTGATCAGTAACCCCAGGGCTCCTCCAGGACGGGGAAAGTGCTGAGCTCCATGGCTTTGGGTAGGAGGCGGGGCACCCCTTCCTATGCCCTCTAGTGCCTGAATGCAGTCCCCCAGAAGGTCATCCCTATGGCCTCCCAGCTCTGAGAGTCAAGACAGCAGCCCCACCCCCACCCATCCACCCTGCTCGCCCTTGGCAGGTGCCCGCTTGGCAGGTGCCCGCTTCTACCTGCTGCCCCTTCTCCCCGGAACAGATGCGCGGCTGCGTTCAAGGAGAAGGTGTCAGGTGGCGAGGAAGAGGTGCTGGTGGGGGGCCAGGCCCGCCCCCGGGAGCCGTCCTTTCTGAAGGCCCTGATAGTCACCTTTGGCCCCAGATATGTCATCAGCTCCGGCTTCAAGCTAATCCAGGACCTGCTCGCGTTCGTCAACCCCCAGCTACTCAGGTCTCACCACACCCCTGCGATGGTCCTTCTCCAGGTGGGGGCATGGGCGGGCTGGGCTGGGGGCTGCCTCTAGAGGGAGGAGCAACCTATGGGGCAGCGGGCCCAGACCACCACCTCTCTGCTGAGCCTCAGTCTCCCCATTCACGGGCACCCTCTTTGGACTGGAGGCAGAGAGATGTGTGTCAGTCACAGGGGCATATCCCCTAGACCCCACCCCACTCCATGGTCCTTTGGGAAAAGCTCAGGGAGATGGCTCAACTTGCCCACAGAAGGGTCCACGGCTGGAAGAGACAGTTGGCACTGAGTCCAGGGCCCCCAACTCCAGCCAGAGTGCTCTCCTCACCACCATTGGGCTCTGTCACCTGTCACGAGAGTGGCTCAGCCTAAAGAAGCTCTCAGAGGGCGTGGCCAAGAGAGCCCGACCTCTCCCTGCCTGCATTCACCACACGCCCATCCATCTGGCCGGCACTTACAGAAGGTAGCCGGCATGGCGGCAGACACCAGGACGAGGGCATCAATAAGACACGGGCTGCACACCCATTGCGTGGGAGTCACTGACGTGTGAACCCATGAGAGTAGCGTGTTGGCCAAGCTATCTCAGGTTCCTGGGAACCCCTGGGGGACAGGGAGGGAGAGACAGGGCACACTTGACTGCTAAGAAGGGTGGCAGAGTGGGCAGGAACTAGTTAGCCCTTCCCGTGGGCTAACTAGGGAAGGGGAGAAGCAGAGAGTGTGGTCAGGCCCGGTCTCTAAGGCCCGAGGCAGCACCTGTCTCAGGGAGCTCTGGGTGCCTTTGGGGACAGGGGCCCCAGAGGCAGGGGCAGACACAGGAACTGAGGAGAGGGAGCATTGGGAGTGCTTGGGAATGATCTTCAGCCTGGGAGGGATGTCTGGCTTGGCTTCCGGAAGGTTCTTCCTGTTAGCAGTGTGAGTGACAGAGGGCAGGAAAGCCAGATGGAAGTCAGCCAACCAGGTCGGGCGTGAGATGCCCAGGCCAGGGAGGAGATAAGGATCCAGGAACTGGTTGAGAGATGGGTGAGTGCCAGGGAGGCTAGGGGTCACTGGTAACTGAAGGATGGAGGTGATTAACTCTAACCTCAGGGTGACTTGTTGGCGGGGGTGGGG